CGGGTGGGGTAAAGGGGGTGGAGGAGGCTGCCGGTGGGGGCCGAGGTGGGACGAGAGGGCAGAGCGTCCCGGGAAGGCAGGGTTAGCACAGGTCAGGGCCAGCAGGGCGGTCATTGCAGGTTCTCTGAAGGCGGACAGCCTGAGGGAGGAGGAGCTCCACCTGACCCTGCTGGTGTCCAGCGGCTGGAGAACGATCCGCTTCCATGTGGTGCCGGTGGTGCGGTGGAAGCACCGGGTGCCGGCCCTGGAGGGGGCCCAGTGGGCGCCCGGGTTCCCTGAAGGCAGCTTGAAAAAGATCATCAGTCAAGAGGTGGCCCTGGTGCCCGCCAGCGCCCAGCTCTGGAGGTAGGCGGCACCTTCGGGTCGGCGGGGTCCTGGGGAGCTGGCANCGCCGCTCCCCGCCCGCCTCTACCCCATGGGCGCCTGTACCACGCCAAGATTACGGGGGTCTTGAGGGAATTCGAGATGCCCCTCGGAGCTTCGGGGAGTGGGCTGTGCAGCGGAGCCCGTCATGACCCAGCCCCGTGGGAGAGCAGCAAAGAGGACGGGTGGCTTGTCCAGGGTCCCAGCAGGTTCCTGGAGCAGCTGGGAGGCTGGTCAGGGCCTAAGGAGGCAGTTTAGCTCTGGGGCTTCGCTAGACTCTCCCTGTGGGCTGCTCTTCCCAGATTAGTGTCCCCGCTCCCAGGAGTCCCCACCTACAGTATTCAGCTGTGATGTCCCCTCCCTTGCCTGGCCCAGGACCCCAGCAGCCTTGGAGAGGGAGGAGCATCTGCTGGGAAGGGAGCCTGAGTAGTTCTGTGGGGCACAGGGCAGAAGCTGAACCCTCTGCAGACCTTATACCAGGGCCCGGTGAGCGCCGTCCGGATCCACACAGCTCACACGCAGGCCGCTGTGGTTTGGCCAGGCTGACCCACCTGCCAGCTCTCGTGCTGGGGTGAAGTATCCACAGTGGCTTTTATGCCTGAGTTCATTCTTAGAGATGGATGATATTTATAAAGCTGGTTGTGCCCGTCTGTGGTTTTCTGCTGCTCAGAAAGGCTCAGTAGAGCACCTGGGAGCCACCTCCACCCACCTGGCCCATCTCTGCACAGAGCAGGCCTGCGTCCAGGCTGGTGTTGACCACTGGCCCCTGAGAAAGGGGAAGAGCTGGGCATTGTTTGCAAGTAAATGGCCTTCCCTGTGCCCTGCCCGCCACAGACTCAGGTTACAGATGGCTGTCCAGTGTTGAGACTGCACAGAGTGGGGACCTGAGGGCGCCATCCCCAGGTCCCGTTCCTCAGTCACTCGGCAAGCACGCAGTGAGCGCCTCCTGTGTGTCCTGCTCTGTGGGCACTGCTGGGGGCAGGATTTGGGGCCCCTTCCTGGTCTGTAGCTGGCTGGTAGAGGCAGGCTTCCAGATGGGGTGTGGAAGGGAGACATCACACCCACCTGGCTGGGGTGGCTCCACCCACACCTCTGGCAGGGACCAGGAGCCTCAGCGGCTCCACCCTGGGCTGGTGACATGGCACCTTCCTGTCCCCACAAAAGGGCCTAGCTGGCCCAAAGGCTCCCCCTGTCCCTCCGAGCCCTGGGGCTGGGGTATCTGTGTGAAAATGAGACATTTCACAATGGACAGGCCTCTGTGTGCCGTTCCTGAAACACGCGTGAAGCCAGCTGCGTGTACCCCGACAGCCGCTGCCAGGACTGGGCTGCCCCCAGGGGCCCAGGAGCTCTCTGTCCGGGGGAGGCTTTCCTCTCTGGGGATGATCTGTGGATGCAGTGTGCCTGTCACACCTGGTGAGGCCCTAATGCTGACCAGGAGGGGTGTGTCTACCTGGGCTCCCAGGGTCTCCACGGACTACCTGCTCACCCGGCTGCTGAGCGCGCTGGGCTGCCTGCCAGGCCATCGACTGGACAGCCTCTCCATCCTGGACCGGGTCAACCATGAGAGCTGGTGTGACAGTGGCCAGAGCCCTGGCCTGACCTTCGACCACCTGAAGGTATGTGTAGGGGACTCAGGAGCCCTGCACCTACTCTGCTGGGCGTTTGTCTATCACCAGGAGGCCCCCAGGTTGGACCCTTGTGCCAACTCTGACTGGTGGACGCCTTGCACAAGCTCCACACAGAGGGTTCCGAGGCCTTGCTGGGCTCCTGGGGAGCAAGGCCCAGGCTCGCAAGTGACATCTGGCTTCTGAGTGTGGTGGCACCTCAGACCCACCTTTGCCATCCCAAGACTGGTGACCTCGGGGTCCTCCTGCTGTTTGGGTTGGGTTGCACACAGCGGGCATGCCCACCAGCCCCTGTCAGCCCTGGGAGGCCCCTTTGTCCCAATGCCTTTGCCCTCCAGCCTGGAGTCTGTGAGTGTCACCTGCTGGGGTTCGTCTCTGAGTGGAGCCAGCTCAGCCCTGGCACCCCTTCCCTGCTGCTCACTGACGCTGTGACAGGGCTGGAACCATGTTCTCCTGGGGCTGGGCACCTTCGGGCAGTGAGAAGAGCAGGGGCAGGGGCTCGCAGGGTGGGGCAGGGGGAGAGGGTGGGGCCGTGGAGTCTCAGGCTGCTCCACGACAAGGGCAGGTTAAGAGATGTGGCCCCATCTGGTGCAGAAGAAACTCCACCAGGAACCCCCGTGAGACTCCACCCCACGACCGAGGGGGTGCCAACTTCTGAGAGGGTCCCTCGGGGTCTGACACATGGTGGTTCCCGCAGTGAACTAGGGGTGATGGGGCCGGCAGAGAGAGAGGGCGGGGTATGCAAAGCAGCTGTGTGACAGGAGAGGGGTCCCTGGCTAGGGGGACTCAGGGCCAGGGTGGGAGAGGGTACCTGGGGCAGCCAAGTAAGTCCAGTTACGGCTTTCAGACATATTCTGGGCCCAGATGTGCTGGGCACACAGACTAGGACTGGGCATGCAGCAGGGCAGGGCTCTTTGGGTGGAGCTGCAGGGCACAAGTGGGAGTCCGTGGGAATGGAGCATGAGGAAAGGCCCAGAGGATGGGCAGGAACCTCGACTCCCCTGAGAAGGACCCTGGTGGCTGGTGTGGGGGTGCTGTGAAGGGGAGGTCGGGGGGGGTCCTGCTCAGCTGCAGTGCCCCCACCCCAGGGAGTCAAGGGAGGCACCAAGGTGGGCGCAGCGGGTGGGGAGGATCTGGGGCTCATGTGGGGACACCCAGGGGAGGCATAAAGAGTGGGGGGAAAGTGCCCGTGGGCCGGGGGCTCCAGGGGCGGGGGTGATGGGAGGGCTAGTTGGTCTGCCCACCCCTCCCCTGGACGAGGGCCTGGCCCGCTGCCTTCCTCCCCCTCCCACAGACAGTGCTGCTCTGGGCCTCAGTGCTCTTCCCGGCGCCCGAGGACTGGGCGGAGCTGCAGGGCGCCGTGTACCGGCTGCTGGTGGTGCTGCTGTGCTGCCTGGCCACCAGGAACCTGCCCCACTTCCTCCACCCCGAGTGCAACCTGCTGCAGGGCACCAGCCTGGACCTCCACGCCCTCTACCTGCGCGTGGAGCGTTTCGCCAGCCAGCCCGAGGCGGCCCTGCGCATCCATGCCACCCACCTGGGCTGCAACCCCCCGCCACGCATTGGCCACGGGGTCAAGGCGCTCCTGCAGCTGCCCGCCAGCGACCCCGCCTACTGGGCCACCGCCTACTTTGACGTTCTGCTGGACAAGGTGGGCATGGGCAGCTGAGGGCCTCGGGCAGGCCCCGGGTCACATTCAGTGGGGTGAGCCCGGGTCCGCCCTGCCGCCCCCCGCCCCAGGGTCGGGACCGTGAGCAAGGCTGGGTCAGGCCAGGCCTTGGGTAGCCTCTGTCAGGGAAAGATGTGACGCTGGGGGTCACACCGCCCCCTGCCCACCAGTGGCCCCACAGGCCCAGGGCCGCTGCCTGAGAGCCGGGGCAGCATGTCCAAGCCTGCCCATCCCCCCAGAACCGCCCCAAACCCGCAGTTGGAGCTCAGAGCCCCAGCAGCTGCCCTGGGCTCCATTCCTCAGGAAGGGAGGGCCTCACCAGCAGGTTCCTGCTGCACCTCTGGGCCCAGCAGTCCCATGTCATGTCCCTTGGGCATTTGGGGGTACCTGCCTGCTCTGCCAGCTGTGCTTCTCAAGCCCCAAGGCTCCACCAGCTCTGCCGGCCCTCCTTTCTCCTACCCCAAGGAGCCCCTACTTGCTTCTCCTGCACCCCAAATAGCCAACATGTCCCCTCCCAGGGCACACCTGGGGGCATGGAGTGATGGTAGCGGGAGGGGTGACCCACATTCAGCCCTCAGCAAGTACCTGGCCGAGTCTCCTCGGGGTCAGGCCCGTCAGGGATGCCTGCATGTGGGGAAGGCCAGGGAGAGGGGACCGAGGCAGATCCAGCTGCAGGGGGGACTGTCCAGGAGAGACCCAGAGGCAGGAATGCCCAGTGGCCAGGGAGCAGATGTTGCCCCACGCTGTGTCTGGGGCCCTGTGGCGGACTCCAGGTGTCTCTGTGACCCCTCTGTCCCCGCCCCGCCCGCAGTTCCAGGTCTTCCACATCCAGGATAAGGACCGGATCGCAGCTATGCAGAGCATTTTCCGCAAGACCAAGACGCTGGGTGGAGAGGACTGCTGAGCGGGCGTCCAGCTCTGCTGTCTGGTGCTGCCCTACGGAGGCCCCACGGAGCCTGCACCTCGAGGCGGGTGGTGGGTGGTGGAGGGACTTTGTCCCAGGGATGGCCTCATGGGAGCCTAAGTGCAGGGCTGCAGGCCTCCTGGGCCAGCTGCCCCATCTCCAGGAAGAGAGGGGCCGTGTGCTTCTTGGAACTCGTGTCCACCCACCTGTCTGGTGCCATCAGGACTCTGAACACTGAGTGTCTGCGCCAGTGAGACCTGGACCTTGAGGGTGCGTTCTGTTGTGTCGAATGCCACCCTGAGAAGAAATGCTATGTGTCTGATCTTGAATAAATTAATGCACTTCCAACAGATAGCAGGGGTTCTCGTTCCCGCCCACCTACCACAGAGAACAAGACGGGGCCTTGGTAGACTTTGGAGAGGCCACCACCTCTTTGGGAGGGTCCATTTGCTGGGTGGCTCAGAGGCTGTTAGTTCTGAGTGGGCTGAAGCACAGGCTGGCTACCCAGCAGGTTTGTGGGCCGGGGTCCCCGGAGAGTGGGCGCCACATGGCGTCCCTGGAAAACCCTAACGTGGAAGCCGAGGTTCTGCTGCAGAGGATAGCAGTCTACTGTTCAAAGCGCAGCGTCTGGCAGGATGCGGGGCCCTAGCAGAGGATGGGCCCAGCCACGAGACCCCAGGCCACGGCACGACCTGAGCTGCCCACCACAAGCCATGGGGTATAGGCTCCTTGCGATGAGGCAGGAAAAAATAAGTAAAAGGCGTGAGTTTTTGAAAAAAAGATGTAAACCGTCATTATTCACAGACAACTTGATGATTTCCATAGAAAACTCTAAGGAATCTAGGAAGACACTATTAGACTTTGTGAATGTAACAAGGTCAAGACATACAAGGTAAACAGAGAAAAATGAACTGTGCTTCTATATATTGAAAGGAAACCACTGGAGCCCTGGTTGGTGTGGCTCAGTGGTTGGAATGTCGCCGGGCACTGAAGGGTTGCAGGTTCGATTCCTGGTAAAAGGCATGTTCCTCGGTTGCAGGTTCGATCCCTGTCCCCAGTCAGGGCGTGTTTGGGAGGCAACCAGTCGACGTGTCTCTCTCACATCAATGTTTTTCTCCCTCTCTCTCTCTCTCCCCCCCACCTCCCACTCTCTCTAAAAATCAGTGGAAAAAATATCCTCAGGTGAGAATTAACAAAAAAAATTTTTTTAAGTAGCACGATTAAGAAAACGAGTCTAGGTAAGCCACAGAATAGAAGAAAATGCTCATGACAACCTATCGGACAATGTCCAGAACCTATCAGATAATTATCACAAACCGACAATAAAAAGACGAAAATTGAAGAATGTGAGCCAGACACTGGAGCTGACTCTTCTCAGAAGCAGGCACACCAATAGCCGATAAACACACGAAAAGATGCTCAACACCGTCAATCATCAGGAAAACACATAATAACACCAAATTAGATTCGATTTCACACCCACTGGGGGAAAAAAGACAAGGCCAAGTGAAGTGAGGACGCTGGGCCATGTAACACATTGAGAACGCAACATTGTAACCACCTCCGGGAACTTTGTAGCAGGGCCTTACGGTTAAGCCTGTGCTCACTGCATGACCCACAGTTCCACTCCGGGTAGTTACCCGGGAGAAACGAACAGGTGTCCACGCAAAGCCGTCTGAGAATGTCCATCAGCTCCGTGTTCCCAGCAGCCCCCCGCTGGCAGCCACCCAGTCGAGGTACAGCCGTGCAACGCAGTAGCCTCCAGCCACAAAGACTTGCCACATTCCTGCAACAACCAAGCACTAAGTGAAAGAAGCGGATACGCTGGAGAGTATGCTGTGTGATTCCATTGATATGAACCCCAACTGCCTGTGGAACTGATCAGGGGTGATGGGGGGGCTGACTGGATGGGGAGCTCAGGGGACCTAGCACTGGATGGTACCTATACTTGAATTTCCAGTGTCTGCTTGACAAAGTCCAAAGTCTTGAAGGTGACCCATGTGGCCTTGCATGTCCCGGCCCCCAAACTCTCTGGCCTCCTCTGGAAGAGCCCCCACCCCTGCCTTCTGGACTCTAGACCCTCTGGCTTCTCAGGTCCTGTGCTGACAATAGCTGTGATGGGAGTGTCCCATAGTGCCCATCTCTCCTGATGGCCATGAGCACCCCGGAGCGGACGGCCTCTGGTCCGCTCAGGGCCCACCCCAGTACCAGCCACACTCAGGTGAGAGGCGGGGCAGAGCCAGGCCAACCCCTCCATACACAATGACACAGGGCTGTGCTGGGTTGCGGAGTCCACCTGCCCAACCTTCCTCCTGGGGGATCTTAGGACCCGTGAGGACCTGGCAATGTGGGCTTGGCTGGGATTGCCCAGAGCATGCCCTGGTCCAGAGTAGGCCAGAGGGGGGCCTAGTCTGAAACTTCAAACTAGAGAGAGGCTGAGGGAGTTGAGTACACCCAGAAACCCCAAGTGAGGGCCAGAGGGAAGGGACAGAGAGTCAGAGGGAGCCACGCCAAGGAGGGGAGGAGGCCGAGGCTCCTGGCCACCCTCACTGCACGTTGGAGGGCCTGGTGGTCGCTGGGCGGAGACCTCCCCAGACTCGATGCCTGCACTGGCCTGCGGGCTGGTATCCAGGCTCAGGCCCCGGCTGCGTGCTCTGGGCATGTTCCACCCTTGCCCACGTGACTCAGGTCATGGGCCACCCGGTAGCTGCGGGTTCCCCGGGAGGCAGTGTGTGACAATGTGTTTGCAAGTGTGAGCCTAGGACCCCTGCACACCCGTCTTCCAGCTCCAGGGGGACTCCAGCCGATGATCTGCTCTGTGAGCCCCCCAACAAAAGTGCAGTCATGGGGCAGACCCTTCCCCAGCCCCGCCCTTCACAGTGAGGACAGATGACATCTTGTTCTTTATTGATGACTCCCAGACCAGCGACCTGGGGACTGCAGCTCATTTGGGAGGAACTGTGGATCTGGAGCCCAAAGGGCCATTTCCAGGAGGTTCTACTGGGAAGGAGAAGGGCCACCTGGGGCTGGGGCAGTGACCCATCCATCTTGCAGACTCTGTGCCCCACCCCCCAGTCCCTCCACGTGGGTGTGGCCAGGTGACCAGGTGGCTAGGTCATAGCTTGTTCCGGGGGCAGTGCTGCAGGGCCTCTTCCAGGGCCTCGATCACTCGGTCCACATTCTCCCTGGTGGCGTTGCAGCCCAGGAGGCCGATCCGCAGCACCTGGGGGACAGGGCTGGTGAGACGTCGGCCTCCGTCCAGGACCCCACCTGGCCCTGTCTGAGGTCTGGGCAGAGTCAGGTGGGCTTCCCAACAAGAGGACCCCACCCAGGGGTACCCAGGGAAGCAGAAAGCTTCCTCCAGTCACACAGGGAGCCCCCAGGCCCAGGCAGAGCCCACAGAGCTGAAGAAGGGTATTGGGGCGGTGGTCAGTCAAGGCAGCTCAGAACCACCCTCTCAGTGGGCACAGCTGGACCTGGGCACGGGGCCTCCTGCCTGATCTGCCACACAGAGGGGAGGGAGGAGGGCCCAGATCCCCCCAGCACAAGCCCTTGGGACCAGAAAAAGGGGTTCCCTGTGGACACCCCAGCTGTCCTGGGCCTCTGGATGCCAGCGACCTCAGCCTGGAAACAGGCACGGTCATACCCCAAGTGAGGGTGAATGCAGTTTCTGGGGAAGGTATGGCCGTCTCCCCTCACCTTCCCCAAGGAGGGCCCGAGGCCGCCCGAGATCTCGATGGAGAAGTGGTCCATGATGTACTTGATGATGTCTCTCCAGTCGTAGCCAGCAGGCACGGCCACCGTGGTGACAGTGGGCAGCCGGAGCGCCTGCAGGACAGGCCGGGCTCAGTGCCACCCTGACAGCTCGGGCCAGCCCCACCCGCCCTGGGCTTGGGCTTCAGAGGGGCCAGGACTAGGGGGAGTTGGGGGGTCGCAGGTGCCACTCCACCCCAGGTGCCTCCATACAGCTGTTCTCTCAGGGGCTTCAGTTTCCTAGTGACCTTGGGGTGCCTGGCTCATTCAGCTGAC